ATAAAGACATCAGTCCTTTCTCGTGGAAGTACACTTTTTCCCATCAGGTTTTAGCCAAATCCACAATCCTTTAGCGCTGACCTACATTCCCTTAGCCAAAAACCCATAGTCCTTTAGTTTCGACGCAAAAACTCAATGTCACACCACAGTATGCGAGTTAGATCAAAAGGTATGGGAATATTATGAAATCAACGGATGTTAAAAAAATTACTCTCTACAAATGTTGACGTTGCAAAGCTCGGTTTATAAATAAGAAGGTGTTGGGGTTGCATGCTGCAGCAAGTCAACTGGAGAAGAATTAAACGATGTGCCCGTATAGTCAAATTATTTGACACATTTCATACAGCTTCAGTAGAACACGGTGCATTAATTGCATTCACCAGAGAACTCTTTTCGTGAAAAGTGGATATATGAACATAATAAACACCATTCACAGACTTACATCCATATAACTACCATCAGTTCGTAACGCTGCAACATTTGACATAATTACCACGGTCGAGGTTCAAGAATTACGGGTTTTGTCTATAGTTTGTTGAGAAACGGTGAACTAAATTGGGTCTTTTGTGAGCAAGATTTATTAACCCTGAGATTTTGACTCCTAAGAGTATTGCATGTTGTACAGAAACACTGAAGCTGTCTGAGGTGTGTCAAATGATTTGACGACGCGGCGACTTCGCTTCAACCTTCCTAAACCAACATGTGGTGCAGCGTGCGACCCCCACACCTCGTTATTTCTTAACCAAGCTTTGCAACAGCAACATTTGTAGAAAATTATTTGTTTTCAAAATCCGTTGACTTCAGAATATTCCGATACTGACTTGTCTACTGCGGCATGACTAAAGTTTGTGCCTCGAGATTAAGGGATTACGGGTAGAGGCCAAAGTATTGCAGGCTTTGACTGAAGGATTGTGGGTCGAGGCTCAAAGACTGCTTGATGGGCAAATGTGTAGTAGGGGAAACCGAATCAAATTATCAGTGCATTGTGTTCAACTTGCAGTCCAGATGCATTTATTTGTATTTTTATATTGCACATCCAAACGCTAAGACCAAAAGGCTGATTTTGCTCTCTTTTCCTGGGTCGTGGGCATAAACTGACTGGTTATCCGAAACGAGAGCAGGAAACGTCTTACCCACCCACACACACACACACACACACACACACACACTTACCCACACATTCTTCCAGTCGGATTTGTCGAGCAATTGTTTGCTGCACGAGCACCGGTTTTCCACTTCCACTGCCACTTGTACCGGTCAGTTCTTTGGACAACTAGTTGCAATACAAACCAATGAATTGCAGGTAGAAGAATTAGTGGGTGCTTGATGTGAACGGGGATACGGCGGGGGAGGTGTGAGGAGAATAACCTAACATCGTTCTGATGTCATTCAAAAAAATCAATCGTCCAATCATCCTAAAAGAGAGAGAGAGAAAGAAAATCCCCAGTGGTACTCAATGCCTAAAAGGTGAAACATTAGTGGGCTCCATCCACTACAAGTCAAATGAATACAGCATTCGGAAAGGATACATTTACTGAGCCACAATTTACGCTCTGTCTCTGTAGGTTTGTTATTCATTGTGATCCAATACGGTCTCGTATACGTCATGATAATTCAACGGCGCCAAGATTTGATCTTCACAGCGCTTCAATTCAAGCGATAGTTGAATTCTCACATTATAATCATTATGCTGTGAAAACAACTATTGTAGAAATCATTTGTTTGAGGTAAACCGATATCACAAGAGAAAAATGATAGAATACTGTCGAAAGGTTTGAATCGAATTATGTGTTCCTGGTTGTCGTGACATTCACAAGTTGGTTTGAGCTAAATCAGCATGCACATCCTTTCGGATACGCGGTCCGTATGTATGATCATGATTGAAACCAATTGAATAACAATCACCCCGGATCCGTTCGGACAGACATTTTGGTCATATTGATCGTTGTTGGAACTCTGGTCCTGTGTGTATAGTCTGCTCACGTGCTTTGAACGGTGATATAGGCAGCCTGTCAGTTGTGCACCCGAATCAAACCCACATGCAAACCCGACAATTACAGCACGAGAGCGTACCAAGTATGCTTACTATTACTACTAATGTTGTTACATTTTGCTTCCTACTCAACTGGCGAGCATACAGTGGCTCTGACCTCACTTATGGGAAACAGTGAACAGAGAGAAGACAAATACTGCGATGTGTTCACATCTCTTTGCATCACTTCAGCCGCTACAACGTAAAACAATCTGGTATTTGTACAAGCAAGGTTCGCGAACTACAGTGGTTCAACAGACAATAGTCAGGGAAGCGGCAGGGAGGGTGGAGTGGGAAATCACTTCCACGGCAGTCTGACTGATTGTCTTTGATTGATACCATATACCCAAGAACTTCGTTTAGATATTCGAAAACATAACCAGCCAAACAATTCTGCTTCACATGTCGCCTACCGGTTCACCTGCAGTTGCGGTGACACTGACATCGGCAGAACGCATTGGCCCCTAGCACAGCGGATGTCTGAACACATTGCTAAGTAGTTGATTTCATCGATGATGAAATAAAGTCTTACAGTTTAAATTGAGAAGAGAAATCCAGGGTCATCAATCGCAAAACACCTCATGGCAACTGGACACATCGGTAACCCACAAATGTCGTTCAAGCCGTTATTAGGTAAAATGAACCCCAGGATTCTGGCGTTTAGCGAGACGATGCTAATCAAGTTACGTAACCCAATCTTATGCACACAAAAGTTTCTTACACAATCAGTCAGACTGTCATGGAACTAATTTCCCACCTCACCCTCTCCTCCGCTTCCCTGACTATTGCTCGTCTTTACCACTGTAGTTTTCAAAACTTACTTGTATAAATATCAGATTGTACTACTTTGTAGCGACTGAAAAGATTAAAAGGAATGTTGATATCTCCCAGTATTTGTCTTCTCTCAGTTCTAATTAATTGGATAAAGGGGATCCAACGTTTCAACAGTGACCGGATTAAAATGATCACATAGTGGAATGATAATTCAACACGCTGTAGAATTCCCACAATAGATGTGCGTTCCCACACCGTCCAAGAAAAAAGAACTGGGAATAAAAGCTACATCCCAATACTTTCTTCAAGTAACGGTTTGCATGAATTTTTTTCAATTCTGTTTGGTTCCACTGGTATCATCTCCAATGATGATCAGATAGTTCATTTTTAGATGAATGACACTGTTGACTGTCTGTTACCCCTGTACAAATATAAATACAAATGAGCTGACTGACAATCCTTGAAGACGGTACCGGTACATCCATGAATTTCAAAGGAGAAATTCTTCTTATATGTAAAGCAAATGAAGCGTGAAATGAAAAGCTAGGAAGCACTGGACAGCATTTTCGACCTGACTGGATCTCGTCTCAACAGCAGTGTCAATGCATCCATCGATCCAACTGGGGATCGAACCCACGGGATCCCACAGGCAGAACGCAAGCATGCTATCCACTCGATCACCGAGCACCTGATCCGACCGTTTTTTATTATCCATTTACGCGAAAGCACAACCCATCTTTGTGAGCCTGTTGTAGACCACGAACCTCAGGCAAGAGCCTGCGAGGGGCTACGATTCAGTTGGAAACATTCAAAACCTGACTACTTGGTTTATTTAAGTAATCGAAGATTTGGCGATTCTGGTCAGCCCCATTGTGAGCCGGGTTGATACAATGGTAACACACAAGCCATCCTTTCAATGGACCCAAAGTTCAATGCCCTAACGAGGTGGTAGAAATACACTGCTGACGAACTCGAAAGTTAGGTCTAGCACTTCCCGATTTACGAAGCAACTGAATATACTGATGATTGCATGTGAAGGTAAAGTTTGATGAATCACATCATTATCACTTATCCCATACCACTCTTGATAAGTAAATGGAAGGCAAACGTGACATAAAAATTGTTTGTAGGTTCCGAAGCATCGTGTTACGGAATCATGGAGGTTTTATTTAAGGGGAGTGGAACTCGTGTATGTGACTACTCATTTCGAACGTATATGATATTTTAGCAGGCGCACCTTAATACCTAATGATATTGATTGCTTTCAACTGGCTATCCTTCGGAATTCACCTCCGTGCACAACTCCAAGTTCATCGATTTAATCATACACCAACATAGTCAGTCAAATCAATCTACATCATTTATTCCACACCACTAAATGCGAACTTCACAGGGTATTTTCCTTCCAAGTGGTCCAAAAATTAACCAAGCAAAAATGCTGAATGACACTTTAAATATGTTTGGATTAAACTAGATAATTCAAATAATGTGCTGCATTATAGTCCTTTCTGTTCATCTACTATCTCCCAGTTTTGTAATGTGCCGGTCAGGTTCAGAATGCTTCCGATATTTTGCTGCTTCTAACTAGTTACTCGTGAGTAGTGGGATAACTGCTATTTATTTTGACTGAGTGCTGTTCATCTCCACGAAACAAACTCCTAAATCACCCAAAGAGTCGTACACTCCATAAGCACCGAAATAGAGTTCCGCTCTCATTGAAGCTCATCAGTGAGACGTCCAGGTGATTTGGTTCCTGTCAGAAGTTGAATTCAATTGTAGCACGAACTGGTCAATCGATTTGACCCTTTCTCCACCGCTTCTTCCAGCTTAGATGAAAAAACACCCATCCTAAACATTATTTTCATTTTGACTTACCCATCAGGTTATAACTAATCGTATGGGCAAATACATATCTAATTTTACGTATTAATTAGAGTTTGGACAAATAAACTTACGACAAAATGATACGCAGGACAGTGTTCGTAAACAGGGTAGAAAAGATAGTCATTTACATTCACCTATCCATAACAGTTTGGGCCTGTTCTAAGTTAAACAGATAGCTAGAACAATGGATCGTCAAATGGACAGACAGACAGACCACTGTGAATTCCAGATTATTCATGCCATACTTACCATTTCGGACGGCTGATAAACCTCTTGTTTCAATTTTCCCGTTCGGCCCCAACATCGAACCGACCTGGTCTGACTGAGTCGTGGATTTGCATTCGTTGAAACCTTGTGATCTCCAATCAAAAGATCTTNCGGAACCCCGAAAGGAGGATACATCCCCGTACACATTTTGTCTCTGACCCAGATTGCAATTGGTGCTAGTCGAGAGCAATGGCGACGGACCGGAACCTGTGCCATACCCCAGACCGTTTCGTTCATAGTCCGCTGAAGTCACTTTTGAACTACCAACACAACCACCACCGCAACATGGTTGTCCATTTGGGATGGACTGAATAGAACGGGGGGATTTTGCCTGTAGTGAATTGTTCCNGTGTGGTAGTGGTGGTGATGGTATGGACGATGATAAGGATGATACAGGATGTGTGGGCTTGTTTTTGACCTTCAAGCAAAATTTTCGGCGTCGAACAAAAAAGATCAGGATGGAGAGCAGTAGGATTAATACTAGGGCCGGGATTATCACTATTGCCACATACTGGATTGGTTTGGTCGCTAAGTAGTATGGTCCGTTTTCGTCTGTGTATCGAAGCCATCTGCTTTGCTGAGGTTCACCGTAGTCTGCAGGCATATAATATTCCGCGTGAATCGGGTTCGATTTCGGATAGGTGGAAATAGAGGACGATAACGGTGAGATTGATTCAGTCGGTCCTGGAAATTTCAAAATTCAAACAGAACAACATAGTGAGCTGTACGAAACGAACCAGACGGAATGGATTACCCAATAGTTCTGGGTTTTTTTGTTTGTTTTTCTGTTTTTTCTAAAACTTTTTCTATACGTGCGATGTTAAATATTCCCATCAAGTGAGTAATGGAAGATTTGATTCAATTTCAAAGGTGTATTCGTCATGTATATAGCAAATGAAGCGAGTGGGTAGTATGCTTGCGTTCTGCACATGAGATCCCGGGTTTGATCCCCAGTTGAGTCGATCAATTTGCACTGCTTATGAGACCCAACCAGGTCGGAACAGCTGTACAAAGAGTGCTTTCTAGCTTTTCGGTTCGCGCTTTATCTGCTATATACACGACGAATACGCCTTTGATACTGGATTCTACTATACCGGCAGAAAACATTGACTGGTGCCATGATTTCCACCGGCGCCACTGATTTGCACACAATGACCCAATTTTCGTCATTATCGCAGTTCATCGGGGGCATTCGTGCTGTGAATCACACAGTCAAGTGAGCGGCTTCAAAGGGCACGGTAAATCGTTTTTTGAATGGCACCGACATTGTTTTAGCCGACGAATGTGAAGGAGCTGCTGCGTACCAAGAAGAGCAAATGATCGGATGCACATGGGATCTAATGCACCGTGGTTTCTGTCGTCCCATTCCTCTTATTG